CTTTTATTTGGGTGGGGGCTTGGAGATTATAGGGGGCTTCTCCCCCTCCCCTGCTACCTATAGTGCCACCAATGCAGGTAGCCATCGTCGGTTCACAACTGGAGGTCAAGGAGTGTAGATACACGAATGAGCTCGCTTACCCTAACCTTCCATTAATGAAGATATACAGTCTGGTATACTGGTCATCGTGAGCTCCTCGCTATGCCCTGGGTTAACCCTAGTAATCCTCTAACAAACTGGTAGCAGCAGTGGGATGAATTATGCTCTGCAGCACTGCTACTGAAGCTTTCAATAAAGAAAAAAAGAAGCTACCCCAAACAATTCTAGGTGCCAAGCATAATGGATCAACAAGTTATGACTGTATAATGAAGCTTACACCTACATCTCAAAACATATCTACTTGTAAATACTTTTTATTAACTTACCAATTATCACAATAATAAGTCTTGGAATTTTCAGTCCTATTTACAAATTACCAATTATTATTTTTAATTCAATAACTGTTTGTGTTTCCTCATAACTCATCACAATCTCCTGACAGAGTCCTCGAGGCCACCAACACAATATCCACCTTGAACAAAAGTTACCGAGATTTTCTGTACGTTTCTTAAACTTCAAATCATAATTACTGTAACATTTTATATCTACACATGATATACTGAAAGTCCCCTTTTTTAAACTATGTACAAAAAATAGTACACTTTTCTTCATAAATAACAAAAAGGAGAAAAATGCTGGTCTATATTATCAAAATTCCTATTAAAACTGGTGTCTACTGATTAACACTATGTTGTTTAAGTAACTTGGTCAGCTAATGTAACAAAGGATGATTATAGCACCTGTCATATGACAGTCATCACACACATTCTATATCAAACATGAACATCAAAATGGTATACAATACCGACAGGTTGGTAGTTAAGACACATAGGCAACAGTTAGGCAACTTTATTCCGAAACGTTTCGCCTACACAGTAGGCTTCTTCAGTCGAATACAGAAAGTAGGGAGGAACAGTAGAGATGTGAAGACGATGTAATCAGTCCATCACCCTTGAAGTCGTAGAATTTGAGGTTGTCAGTCCCTGACTATGGAACTGAACTTCTCCAGGCCGAGGGACTGACAACCTCAAATTCTACGACTTCAAGGGTGATGGACTGATTACATCGTCTTCACATCTCTACTGTTCCTGCCTACTTTCTGTATTCGACTGAAGAAGCCTACTGTGTAGGCGAAACGTTTCGGAATAAAGTTGCCTAACTGTTGCCTATGTGTCTTATATATCAAACATGTTGAATTCCACGGATACTTGCATATGATCGTAGTTCTATCTACTAAAATTAGCTAAATGAAATAATCTGACTCAAAGAGTAAATAAATGCTGCCAAAGCAATATTTCATTAAGAATGTTTTATATCTTAAAACACGTCTGAGCGAAAGCATTAAAGTGGAGTCGTAGTACATCAAGTACAACATATGAGTCCTTCAGAGTGGCATCCCTTCCAGAGGAAGACAAACCACTCAAACCCACCCACCGTTTTCAGGTGACTCAGCCTCGGGGAGGTTACCCAAACATTACTTGACGACGATTTTGGGGGGTCACCGCCCCCCTGCAACCCGATCCAGAACTAGTGAAAGTAGATAAGTCGAATTACAATTTTTGCGGCTGTCTGTTTACTGATAGTTTTGTGATAGCCGCTAATGCAGTTCTCCTTAGTGTGAATGTCAGCCTCGTATCAACACCCTCCCACCTTCTACCACCACCATTCCCCCTCATTCTGGCCAGACGTTTTTCCCACCATTCCCCTTGCCCTTGCCAGTTTCTTCAAACTCCCCCCCCCCTCATTCCCATCAGTAGACAACTTCCTTCATTCCCTTCACCCTGGCAAGCTTCTTCCCTCCCCGCGGTCATCCGGGCCACCATCTCCTCACCAGCCATGCAACTCATTACTTACCCCATATGACAAAAACGCCGCCTTCAATGTCAATATTCACTTCTACATTCCTTCCCATTCGCTCTATATATTCCTTCCAAATCTTCCTATAATTCTTATCACTCCTCCCATGTTCCCTCCCACTTTCCATATATTCCTTCCCACTCTTCCTGTAATCCTCCCCATCCTCTGTATATTCCGCACTACTTACCTCTGCTTCTGTTATCTTTTCTTATCTTTCTCTGCTCCTCGCCACCGTCCTTCCTTCCATCTGCTTCTTCCCTCCCTTTGCTTTTTCGTCAACCTTCCTTCTGCTTGTTTCCTTCACTCCCTCTCGCTAACAGGTGCAATCATTTCCTCTATTACTATCCCTCTCGTTCTCCACATATTCCTCCCATCCTTACATCTGCTTATTTTCCTCTATCCCTCTGATCCTGTCCTACCCTCCCTCTGAGACACTAATCTAGTATTCCATTTACTGCCCAAGAGGTAGCGGTCTCATGGACATAAGCCAGCAGCAGTCGCCACGGATATAAGTGGTTACCACTGCCTCATCTACCTTCTCAAACCTCAATAATAATAATAATAATAATCATAATAATAATTTCCCAAGACCATACATACGTGTTACAAAAGACTGATTTACAGAATAACTTGCAAGGAAAATTTCCTAGTCATACAAGGCATAAACCTGTATAGATCATACAATGCCTTGGGAATGGGAAGCGATAGTGTTTGATCAGAGGAAGAGAAGGGTAAGTCAAAGCCATAGATCAAGAACCCTACACGAGCATCCAGGAGAGCCACGTTGAAGGGAGACACACTGAAGTGCTAACAAGGGTAGAAAAGTGAACAAGCTTTTCTTAGCACAACGTTTCGCTCAGTGTCGAGCTTTATCAAGTCAGAGATTATATATATATTTTAATTATAACCACTTGATGAAGCTCTACACAGAATGAAACTCTGTCCCATTACAAACTTGTTTTACAGCCTTTGATGATTCATTTCTCGAGTGACATGGAACAAGTTTTCGTAAGGTAACATTACCTTACGTCAAGCGGTAAACCAGAGTGAGACGCTCAGCACAAATCCAGGATCCAACTTCCGTCCAATAATCTACAGAGCTAATACTCTACCCAAATCTACAAGAAATAAGATTTATAGGGCGATGAACCTGAAAGGTTATACAGCACTATGTATAATAAAAAGTTACACACAACTAAACATATACCAAGTTAGAACATAACTAAAACAACGAGATCATTAAAAATGTGTATTAATAAATGGTTAAAACTTCGCTCTTCATTAAAAACAAATTTATTCACACCGAAAGATTCTTCTGAAATGCCAGCGAGGATCTAAAGACATCCCAGTGATTATAAAATAGAGGTTTTATAAAAAATGTATGGTATGAAAATAAGTATCCAATTTTAGTACGCTGCTCAGAGAACAGCAGGTTTCCATGTAAACATGTGTACATGGCTGAAGTATGTACTACCCTCAATTGGCACACAATTGCTTCATTGACGATTTATGGACAAACTGTTAATGAGGCACTCGTATCCTACTAAACCCTATACAGTTTACAGCTTATCTCCAACATCCACTGGGTCCCCCACTTTCCCCTGACGTAATCCTGTACTTGGCCCAGAAAGGCACTGAGGCACAAGCCTGCTGTTGCGCACCTCAATACGACAGCTTCTGTCTCTGCATCTGTCCATTCATTACGGAAACTTGACATGAACCTGGCACCAATAGAAGTCTACCTTCAAGTGCCTGCAATGGAAAGCATAGGGAGGGAGGTATAGTAGATAATACAAAATAATCTCACTGAAAAATATGGTAGTAAGCACACTAAAATAACTCAATAAACATACAAGGATAAACACTATACAACACACTCCTTTCAAGAATAAAGATAAGAGAAACCTCCTAAATAAATCTATATTCCTGTAAGGAAAACGATCAGCTTTTTCAGCCTTTCCTTTTAGCTATCTCTCTCGGCAATGGAAAATACGTATTGTGAAAACTATCCAACTTAAGCTTCGATAGTGGCTACCAAGTGATGGCTCCACACTGGTTCCAAATACCTGAGAAATAACCCCCATCCATCATACTAAACGTCACAAACTTCGTAATACGCTATACTAAAAATCACACAAAGCTGAACATAGCTACACTACCAATCATACACTCCGCTATACTATCACACACAAGAACATACTGAAAAAGCACTTGGGTGCTCCTACTAACTCAACCATTTCCACCAACGTATTTGTCATACCTAGATTAATAGCTCCTAAGTATCCTCTTTAATGAAACTGCTTGGTAGTTTATTCCACTCAACTACAGCTATTACCGAACCATCACACTGCACCACACTTCACTATAGTCCACCACACCACGACATGCGTCACTGTGAGCCAAATCTCCCATACATAACACTATACCTATTTCCTTTGCTCCCCTACACACTGATACATATTACCTGCCTGTTCTCACAAATGTATAACAGTACACTGCAAACCCGGAAATCCAGTAAGCTTTTACCTGACAAGAAACTGAACTTGGCATTTAAACTTGCCGGTGGCCTGCTGACCAAGAACTCTATATCGTCCCTAATCCCAGTCACCGTAATAAACTTTCTCTTACTTGAAGATGGGAAAGGGTGGCAGCGAATGAGAAAAAAAAGGAATGAGAAAAGTAAAGATGGCATGCGAGAAAAGAGGGAGATACAAGAGAGAAAAAGGAGGGATAAAAGAAAGAAAAAGGAGAGAATGAGATTTTGATTTTGCCACCGAAGCGGCTAGTTTATTGTGCACCCTACATCCATCCTGTGGACGGTAATGTAAGAACGTATGGATACATAAAAGGCCTAGGAACTAGATCCACAAGGGGTTGACAGATGAATGAGAGCGAGAGAGGCGGATGAAATAAGAGAGAAAGCAAGGTTAGTGGTAAGTGTTAAGAGTGAACAGGTAGGCAAATTGAGAAGTGAATAAGGAAAGACAAGAGTAAAAACGGTAAGGGAGTGAACGAGTGATGGAGGAGTTGAGCACTAGACTTACCTTGGTTTTGAAATGTGCGGCGCGGGAGGTAAACACTGCCAGGTGTTGCAGGTAAGGCGTGCTCGATGCTTGGGTTGAGGTCGTCATTCCACCACCCCCATTACCTGAACCATGGCTACCACCACCGGCACCGCATTTCTCAGTCTCACTGCTGTCACCGTGACTACCATCTTCCTCCACTTCAGTGCTACCACCATCTTCCTCAATCTCACTGATGTCACCACCACCATTACCTTTTTCAGCCCTTCCTCCGCCACCAACATTCTCAACCCCATAACTACCACCACCATGTTTCTGAACCCCACTGCTACCACCATCACTACTTCTCTCAACCATATCGTTGTCATTACCACCATTCTGAACCCTAATGTTGACATCACCACCACTTTTCTCAACCTCAGCAATGTTTTCCTTTCCTAGTACATCATCATTAGAATCACCATCTTTAATTTTGCTCTGTTCACCATCAGCACCAGGGCTGGCACCTCCACCTTGACCAACCACGTAACTCTCTCTCTCTCTTTCACCGCCAGCTCTTGACACTACTAGTACATTATTAGTATCACCATCTTTAATTTTGCTCTGTTCACCATCAGTACCAGGGCTGGCACCTCCACCTTGACCAACTACATCATTCTTTCTCTCTTTTTCACTGTCACTCTTGACACCATTGCCCCTCAGCCAAGAGATGGAGAGAGTAGAGATCCATGCTTCAGTAGATAGATCATTCTTAGTGGGTCTTCTCCGCCATGGGAATGACAAATAATTATTCCCTGGTGCAGAAGAGTCGTCTTTCTTTAGGGACGCTTCTGTAGGGTAGTTACCATTGGCGTGAACCTCACCCTTCTGACGAGATTTGTCTGCAGCTCCCCATGGAAGGGAAAAGGAAGGTTCTTCAGTGCCTGGGGAGCCACCTGCATCCTCGGAGCTTTGCCGCCAGGGAAAGCGTATGATGGGGACCACCTTGCTTCCACTGCGGCTGACTTCGGTAACCTCTTCGGGAGGAACCTCCTCGAACTGCGGCACGCTCTCCCTGTCGATAGTAACTTTTCTCTTCTTCCACAGGTACGCAGAGGGACCGTTATCGTCGCCGGTCCTCCAAGGGAAGGTAAAATAGGATGCGCGGGGGCCAGGCTCCTCGCTAGCAGGCTCTTGTCCCTGTCCCTTAATGACCACTCGTTTCACGCCGTCGCCGCCACTGATAAGCCTATCAGAGCCGCTAGACGCCACACTGACCACCTCATTATCCTCATTACCATCACCGCTGTCCTCCTCCACGTCACCTTTACCCAAGTAGGCACGGAAGTACCCACCAAAGTAACTACCTGAGCGCTTGGTGGCATCTTCCGAGCGGGGTTCACTGCCAGGTATAGCTATACCATTAGGGACACCGGCAATGCTGCCTCCACTGCCACTGGCAGATTCGAGTCTGTAGGTTTCTACAGAGGGTGAAGAGGTGTTTCCCCAGGTTTTCCAGGGAAAGAGAGAGTTGTGTTGTGGAGGTCTTTTGTCTTCTGTTTGAGCATTACCACTACCACACACCACACCACCCCAAGCACCGCGCCACATAAAACTCATGCTGTGCACAATACGAAACCAACAAATGCCGTTACCAACACTACCTTACACCATTCCTATTTTGTCTGCATGTCCGAACATCTCTCTCAGCCTTAATTCTCACAAAAAAAAAACAGCAGCTGTACATTCTCCAAGAGAAAAATCTTGATTCAACATGTAGGGAGTAAAATAACACGCACAATCACCACTATGAAGCAACACACTTGCATATTAACAACACTGTTCTAGCAATAACTTCAACCTAACAAAAATCAATGCAGAGTGCCGGTGGGGAAAAAAATCAAGCGGAACTGTTATACACAATTTATCGGCATTTCCACTATTCTTTTCCAGTGAATAATTTTTGCAGTTACAAAACACAAAAGCTTCAGTAAATTACATGGGTCACCTATTTAGGAGAGCCACATCGACACAAAGCTTCACGTATTTGAAAACAAATCACCTCAAAAAACTTTTATGAGCATACAAGGCCAAAACGAGCTTTTCAATAAGATAGTCATCTCTTAGTATTTGAATGAAGGAATCCAGAAAGAGCAGCAACGACGACTACATCCAGTAGACTCTTACAGTAGCAAGAGGAAGAGGGTAGGAGGGTGTCGTGGTGGCAGCAATGGGTGTTTAGGTTCGAGCACGACCTCACAGGTCCGTGTGTGGAGAGAAATGACTGACCAACAACAGCAGCAGCTCCTCCCCCTCTTCACGTACCCCCAATTCCCGAAGGAGGAGAGGTCCTCTGCAGTATTAACGCGGCACCAAGACTACCACCATCACTACTGCAACTACCACCACCACTTCTTGCTACAGCCACTACTGCAACTACCACCAACGCTACTGGCATGATTACAACTACCACCACAACCTCAACAACCAACACCTCCGTCTTCAGTCATCTTTGTATGCCTAAAATAATCTTGTGTCTAATGCGACTACGGTAAAAACAATAAAAATAAATTAAAAAAAAAGTCAATCTAGCTAAATTAAAGTTTGCTTTCATTACACAAACATCCAGCAATATTACCAGCACACGACAACATGCATGTCAGGTAACCAAATGAGACGGAGGAATTGGAGACCAGTATACATAGCTTATCACTACAGCTCTATGTGCGCTTATGTGTGTCGTGCCGAATAGGTAAAACTGGTCAATTAGCAAGAACTCATTTAAAATTAATTCCTTTCTAAATTTTTCTCTTATACATTTTAAGATATATTTTTTCATTTATGTTAATATAAAAATTGATGATTTTGTGCCTAAAGAACCAAGGAAACTTACCTAACCTTATTATAACAAGCGCAATTTAATTTAACCTAATCCAACTAAATATATTTTATACAAGTTTACAATGTGTGAACAGTTTTTAGATAAAGGTAGGGAAGGTTTTCATTGAATTTATGGATTTAGAAAAGGCATATGACAGAGTGGATAGGGGAGCAATGTGGCAGATGTTACAAGTGTATGGAATAGGTAGCAAGTTACTAAATGATGTAAAGAGTTTTTATGAGGATAGTGAGGCTCAGGTTAGAATATGTAGAAGAGGAGACTACTTCCCGGTAAAAGTAGGTCTTAGGGATGTGTAATGTCACCATGGTTGTTTAATATATTTATTGATGGGGTTGTAAAAGAAGTAAATGCTAGGGTGTTGGGGAGAGGGGTGGGATTAAATTATGGCGAATCAAATACAAAATGGGAGTTAACACAGTTACTTTTTGCTTATGATACTGTGCTTATGGGAGATTCTAAACTAAAGTTGCAAAGGTTAATGGATGACTTTGGGAGGGTGTGAAAAGGTATAAAGTTGAAAGTGAACATAGATAAGAGTAAGATGATGTGGATATCAAACGATTTAGATAAAGAAAAAATGGATAACACATTGGAGAGAGGGAATAAGGAAGAAGTGAATGTTTTCAGATATTTGGGAGTTGACTTTTCAGCGGATGGGTTTATGAAGGACGAGGTTAACCATAAAATTGATGAAGGAAAAAAGGTGAGTGGTGCGTTCGAGGTATCTGTGGAGACAAAAAACGTTATCCATGGAGGCAAAGAAGGGAATGTACGAAAGTATAGTGATACCAACACTCTTATACGAGTGTGAAGTTTGGGTTGTAAATGCTGCGGCGAGAAGGCGGCTGGAGGCAGTGGATATGTCCTGTCTAAGGGCAATGTGTGGTGTAAATATTATGCAGAGAATTCGGAGTGTGGAAATTAGGAGAAGGTGTGGAGTTAATAAAAGTATTAGTCAGAGGGTTGAAGAGGGGTTGAAGAGGGGTTGTTGAGGGGGTTTGGTCATTTAGAAAGAAAAGAAAGTAGAATGACTTAGAGAGCGTATAAATCTGTAGAGGAAAGAAGGCGCGGTAGGGGTCGTCCTCGAAAAGGTTGGAGGGAGGGGGTAGAGGAGATTGTGTGGGCGAGGGGCTTGGACTTCAGCAAGCATGTCTGAGGGTGTTAGGAGTGAATGGAGACGAATGGTTTTTGAGACCTGACGAGCTGTTGGAGTGTGAGCAGGGTAATATTTTGTGAATTCAGGGAAACCGGTTATCCGGACTTGAGTCCTGGAAATGGGAAGTACAATGCCTGCACTGTAAAGGAGGGGTTTGGGATATTGGCAGTTTGGAGGGACTTCTAAACTGTCGTATCTGAGCGCCTGTGCAAAGACAGTGATTATGTATGAGTGATGGTGAAAGTGAGTGACGATGAAAGTATTTTTCTTTCTTTTGGAGTTACCCTGCCTCGGTGGGAAACGGCCGTGTTAAAAAAAAAAAAAGACAATGAAATACATTTTTTCGTTAGGTTCAGAATGATTTTTTGTGAAATTATTGCATACATAAATTTTTGCTTTTTATTCAGCAAGATGAGCGTTGCTATTTAAGCCAAAATAGCAAGTTTTACCTATTCGACACGACGTGTGTGTGTGTGTGTGTGTGTGTGTGTGTTGTGTGTGTGTGTGTGTGTGTGTACTCACCTAGTTATACTCACCTAGTTGAGGTTGCAGGGGTCGAGTCCGAGCTCCTGGTCCCGCCTCTTCACTGATCGCTACTAGGTCACTCTCCCTGAACCGTGAGCTTTATCATACCTCTGCTTAAAACTATGTATGGATCCTGCCTCCACTACATCGCTTCCCAAACTATTCCACTTACTGACTACTCTGTGGCTGAAGAAATACTTCCTAACATCCCTGTGATTCATCTGTGTCTTCACTTCCAACTGTGTCCCCTTGTTACTGTGTCCAATCTCTGGAACATCCTGTCTTTGTCCACCTTGTCAATTCCTCTCAGTATTTTGTATGTCGTTATCATGTCCCCCCTATCTCTCCTGTCCTCCAGTGTCGTCAGGTTGATTTCCCTTAACCTCTCCTCGTAGGACATACCTCTTAGCTCTGGGACTAGTCTTGTTGCAAACCTTTGCACTTTCTCTAGTTTCTTTACGTGCTTGGCTAAGTGTGGGTTCCAAACTGGTGCCGCATACTCCAATATGGGCCTAACATACACGGTGTACAGGGTCCTGAATGATTCCTTATTAAGATGTCGGAATGCTGTTCTGAGGTTTGCTAGGCGCCCATATGCTGCAGCAGTTATTTGGTTGATGTGCGCTTCAGGAGATGTGCCTGGTGTTATACTCACCCCAAGATCTTTTTCCTTGAGTGAGGTTTGTAGTCTCTGGCCCCCTAGACTGTACTCCGTCTGTGGTCTTCTTTGCCCTTCCCCAATCTTCATGACTTTGCACTTGGTGGGACTGAACTCCAGGAGCCAATTGCTGGACCAGGTTTGCAGCCTGTCCAGATCCTTTTGTAGTTCTGCCTGGTCTTCGATCGAGTGAATTGTGTGTGTGTGTGTGTGTGTGTGTGTGTGTGTGTGTGTGTGTGTGTGTGTGTGTGTGTGTGTGTGTGTGTACGTACTCACCTAATTATGGTTGCAGGGGTCGAGACTCAGCTCCTGGCCCCGCCTCTTCACTGGTCGCTACTAGATCCTCTCTCCTTGCTCCTTGAGCTTTTTCATACCTCGTCTTAAAAGTGTGTATGGTTCCTGCCTCCACTACATCACATGCCAGACTATTCCAGTTCCTGACAACTCTATGGCTGAAGAAATACTTCCTAATATTCGTTTGACTCATCTGAGTCTTCAGATTCTAATTGTGACCCCTTGTTTCTGTGTTTCATCTCTGAAACACACACACACACACACACACACACACACACACACACACACACACACACACACACACACACACGCACACACGCACACACGCACACACGCACACACGCGCACACGCACACACGCACACACGCGCACACGCACACACGCACACGCACACACGCACGCACACGCACACACAATGCCTGTACTTTAAAGGAGAGGTTTGGGATATTGGCTGTTTGGAGTGACATCTAAATTAAATTGTCGTATCGGAGCGCCTCTGCAAAGACAGTGATTATGTGTAAATGGTGAAAGTTTTCTTTCATTGTTGGGTCACCCTGTGTGCGCGCTCACCTATATGTGGTCACAGCTCCTGGTCCCGCCTCTTCGCTGCAGCAGCAGAATGGTGTCCATACAGACATAATTAAGTTCAAAGATGAGCTACAAAATATCTGCCTTAGTTAAGTAATGAGTTAAACATACTGATAATCAATGACAATGGCCCACTTAGCTGAGAAGAGGGAAAAGCTGACATACCTGGAGTATACCTGGAGAGAGTTTCTGGGGTCAACGCCCCCGCGGTCCGGTCTGTGACCAGGCCTCGCTAGCCACATAAAATAATATTATAAAAAAGATAAACAGGATTTTTTTAAAGGTTTTCTTCGTATTCCTAACCCCCAGAGGGCTGTTAAGCCCAAGATAACCAAAGCATCCCAAGTAGTGTGGATAATTTTAGCTGGTGACCTTAGGTCTTCTCCCTAGTATGCGAGGCAAAACAGCTGGCAATAAAATATAAACACTGAAGACGGGACACCACTAGCATAGCTCTGCTGCTGAAAATACAAACAGATAAAACAGGTAGTCAGGTAGACGCCATAATCACC